GACCCAGGTACCGTCTTCGATGCAGTCTTTGCGCGAGAAGAATTCCGGGAGCACCCCAACAAGGTTTCCAGTATTCTCTTCTACTGGGCGTCTTTGATCATTCACGATCTCTTCCAAACTGACCACAAGGACTTTTCCATCTCCAAAACTTCCTCGTACCTCGACCTTTCACCCCTCTATGGCGACAACCAAAAAGACCAAGACAAGATTCGCACCTTCAAAGACGGCAAGCTCAAGCCTGATTGCTTTGCCGAGGAGCGTCTGCTCGGATTCCCTCCGGGATGTGGTGTCCTTTTGATCATGTTCAACCGCTTCCACAACTACGTCGTCGAACAGCTTGCTGCCATCAATGAAGGTGGAAAATTCTCCAAGCCGAATCTAAATGCCTTGCCTCCGGACATGGTGTCAGATGCTTGGAAGAAATACGACAACGACCTCTTCCAGACTGGCAGGCTGATCACGTGTGGACTGTACATGAACATTACTTTGGGTGGGCCTCTCTCGAAATAGTCTTGTTCAAACACTAATGCCTGTGCAGGCGATTACTTGAGAACCATTGTCAACCTCAACCGGAGTAACACAACATGGACACTGGATCCCCGCGTCGACATGGCCAAAGTCTTTGGAACTGATGGCACCCCGCGCGGTGTCGGGAACCAGGTTTCTGCAGAATTCAACTTGGTGTACCGCTGGCACTCGGCGACAAGCAAACGCGACGAGGAGTGGACGGAGAAAGAATACCAGCGCCTGTTCAAAAAGCCTTCTGCTGAAGTCTCGATGGCAGAGCTCATGTCTGGTCTGGCTCTGTGGGACAAGACCTTGCCTGAAGATCCCATGAAGCGAGATTTTGCAAATCTTGAGCGTGGATCTGATGGCAAGTTTAGTGACGACGCTTTAGTAGAAATTCTTGCCGACAGCATCGAAGATACTGCAGGTAAGGGCAGCCCAAGAAATGTGTGGCCTACGCTAATTGATAGGTGCTTTCGGGGCAAACAACGTGCCAAAGGCTCTCCGTGCCGTCGAGATCCTGGGCATGCAGCAGTCAAGAAAATGGGGGTTGGCCACGTTGAACGAGTTCCGCAAGTTCTTTGGCCTCAAGCCTCACGAGACTTTCGAAGAGATCAACAGTGATCCCAAGGTCGCTGATCAGTTGCGCCATCTGTACAACCATCCTGATTTTGTCGAACTCTATCCAGGTCTGGTTACAGAGGAAGCAAAGACTCCCATGGTGCCCGGAGTCGGAATTGCGCCGACATTTACCATTTCCAAGGCCATTCTCTCGGATGCTGTGGTCCTTGTCCGTGGCGACAGGTTCTACACTATTGACTATCACGCGAAGAACCTGACAAAGTAGGTGACGCGACATCACAGTCATGTCTGTACTGACAAGACGACAGTTGGGGCTACACTGAAGCTTCTTACGACTTGAACATCGAACAAGGATGTGTGTTTTACAAGCTCTTCCTCAGGGCATTCCCCAATCACTTCAAGCCAAACTCGATCTATGCGCACTACCCGGTAAGTGCTGAATGGGACATGGCAACAACGGAGCTGACAAAATTCAAGATGACTATACCTTCTGAGAACCGGAAGATTATGCAAACCCTTGGTCGCGAAAGTCACTACTCATATGATCGCCCCACGTTGATCAAGCCTAGGGTAAACATCACGTCCTACCTCGGAGCAAAGTCTGTCCTCGAGAATCAGGCAAACTTCAAGGTCACATGGGGAGCGACTTTGGAGGAACTGATGGGCAAGGGTGGTGCCAACTTCATGCTGTATGTTTTTGATCCCGGTGTTTGTCTTCGCTAACACTCATAGGTCTGGCGACACTCCACTCAACACCAACCAGAGAAAGACCATGGCCAAGACTTTGTACCGGGAAAATTGGCACCAGGATGTCAAGAAGTTTTACGAGCACATCACTCTGAAACTCTTGCACGAAAAGTCGTTCAAGATTGCGGGGAAGAACACCGTCGACCTCACCAGAGAGTAAGTTCCAGCAACTCGGATACGACTTTTTGCTCACCAGTCTAGTGTCGGCAATCTGGCCCACGTTCACTTTGCGTCCAACGTTTTCTCTCTTCCCCTCAAGACGGCCGAGAACCCAAGGGGCATCTTCACCGAGCACGAGATGTACATGGCGCTCGCCGTCATCTTCATCTGCATCTTCTTCGACATGGATCCGGCCAAGTCATTCCCGCTGCACATTGCCGCAAAGGCCGTAGCAAAGGGACTCGGCAAGCTCATCGAGGCCAACGTCAAGTCGGTTAGCATGACCAGCTGGGTCGCCAAGGTCGCCGATTCGTTCCGTGAGAATGAGTCGTTCTTGACTGAGTATGGTGTTCATATGGTCCGCCGGTTGCTCGAGTCGGGCTTGAGTACGGAGCAGGTTGCTTGGTCGCAAGTTTTCCCCACGGCCTGCGCGATGGTCCCCAACCAGGCCCAAGTTGTAAGTTGAAACACATATCATTCCTGCCCTATCAGTCGCCTTTTTTCTTCCCTGCTTCTGCATCCAGTACTCATCTACAACCGCAGTTCACACAAATCCTCGACTTCTACCTCTCTCCGGCCGGCTCATCTCACCTCCCCGAAATCAATCGCATTGCCAAAATCAACACTCCTGAAACCGATAAGCTGCTTCTGCACTATTGCATGGAAGCCATCCGTCTGAATGGAACCTTCGGCTCCTACCGGCGCGCAACCAGCAGCACAACAATCTTCGACGGGCCCGCCTCGTCGCCCGACTCCAACCCAATCCCCGTCGAAGCAGGCGACAACGTCTTCGTATCCTTCGTGGACAAGGCGGCAAAGGACCCAACCATTTTCCCAGAACCTGAAAAGGTGCGCCTGGATCGGCCGCTCGAAAGCTACATCAACTATGGTGCGGGACCTCACACATGCCTCGGAAAAGACGCGTCGCAAGTTGCGTTGACGGCGATGTTGCGTACTGTTGGTGCGCTCGATGGTTTGCGCCGAGCTCCGGGCGACCCAGGACAGCTCAAGAAGGTTCCTCGGCCAGGTGGATTCTACGTCTATATGCGCGAGGATGGCGGCAGCTACTTCCCGTTCCCACTGTGTAAGTCCCTATCCTGGCTCTGCCGCTTTTGCTTCTCTTTACCACGTCTCCGATCTTTTGCTTCTAATGTCTCTTACTGACTCTGTCTTCCCAAACTTGTAGCATGGCAAGTGCAGTATGATGGCGAATTGCCTCCTTTGAAGGCCCTCTAAGCCGGAAATGATCTTTGGATCAAGCGAAATGCGCGGCATGCCACAGCAGGCAAACAGATCAGGTAAGCGTCAGAAAGCAAGTGATGGGCAAGAAAGTCCCAGTCAAAGGCAGTCAATTGGTGGAAGGATGGATATGTACTGTACTTCACTCTCTTTTGATGTTCAAGGCTATCTCGCTTGATCAAAGTGTTGTGCTGCATTGTTATTTTTGGCAACTCAGATTGACCTGTCCAACATCAAGCCAGCATCACACATGGTCTTGTGCATTGGTGCTGAATCAATACGCGCGGCGGATGAGAAGCAATTGTGCAAACTTATCCAGCTGGTGGAAAATGGGACTATCAAAGCTCAATTTATGTATGAAGAATCCTTCAAGTCATAATCAAAGAGCACCACCACAGTGGCCAGCCGCTCATGGCCACCGTCTGCTACGCCACGAGATGCAGAAAAAGAAGGTGGTATCAGAATAGCACCCGCCCTCCAGCTTCCATGGCCAATTCCTGAGACGTGTGGGAAAAAACGAGATGAAGGGCCAACCGTTCGTCCAGGACGGACGGACTCCCTTCTGCCATCTCCATCTCATTTCAGCGCTCCGCCACGCAACAGCCGGGCCCGTCCGTCCGTCTCCCCGTACCGCCCGTTCCGCCCGCTCGGCGCTGCGAATGCCAAACGGCCAACGTCATTATTGTTCTTTGGTCTTTGTTGATGCCCGACACCTTCGACTCGATGTCAGTCGCCACGACGCTGAGACGGCTCCAGCGTGCAAGATCGCAATGGCAATTTGCATCGTCGTTGCCACGGCCATCACGGTGGCCATTTTCCATTGCCTAAGGCTTTTGATGTTCGAGTGCTGATAATGATATGACCACATGCAGTGAGCATAGGCACGATACCAAGATACTCGCTCCTCGTCGACCATCCCAACTTTCACCCATCCTGCCTTGCGTCGCGTGCCCCTCGCTCCCTGCAGCAGCACGCGCATCGCGGCATCACCAATTCCCAATCTCCAGCCTCCATATACCCCATCCATCCGGCAACGACACAAAACGCTCATCCTTCCCCGTCCATCAGTAGTCGGCAGTCACCCGTGCGCATCTGCGCGAATTTTCCAGACACCTTCTAGAAGCAGGCATGGTCCGGTGGTGGGCTGGGCGACGATCCAACCTCAGTCATGTCCCAAGCAGTGCAACCCAAGGCCAACCGACCAGCGTCTAGCACAAGACACGACAATACCATCTTCTTGGCTTTCGGACTTGTCTGCGATGAGGTGCTGCGCGGTTGCGTTCCGCTCGTGTCGCGCCTAGGTGTCGCTCAGGGTCTGAGCAAGCGGCGGCATTTCGGCGACGAGGGGACGAGAGGCGGAGAGGCCGCGGTGCGATCCGACTGGACAACTCTCTCTCCCCGATGCGCGCGTCGTCGCAGAGAAAGAGAGTCGCTGAAGAGCTTGGTGTTCCAAAAAAGAGCAAGAAAAATTTGGTCGGCGTTGTTCCGCATCAGGGACGCCAGCGCCCATGACGCCCTCCTCGACACTTCAACCACGCCACGCAACAACGCACCGTAAAACGAAGCGCACCGTCTCCCCGGCCTATCCATCCATTCGTCTCGTGGTCCCTTGGTCGTTGGTCCGTCCGTGCGCGTCCTCGTCTCGTCTCGCGTCGCGTCGCCCGTCTCCACCACGCCCCCCTCCGCACGCACCCCCCTGAACAAAAAAAAACTCTTCAACACCACTAACCACCTTTATCTAATGCTTCAGATGAAGCAGAAGCAGCTGGATCCGCCGGGAATTGAACCCGGGACCTCTCCCATTTCAGAATTAGCTCGATCTAGACCGCTCTTGTGAAGCGGTGTTGATGTTGCTAAGGGAGTGTCATACCCCTAGACCACAGACCCGATTGGTGGTTGTTTGTGTTGTTGATGGGAGAGAGCTGGACAACAGAGATTATGAATGCAGTGAACAGACAGGGGGAGACTGTTCTGAGTTCTCCCAAAATTTCACCTCTTTTTCAATTTCTCACTGCTTCACCAACGGCAATTTTCGGAAGCAATTGGTTGATTCAAAAAGCCCCAGAAGACAAAACACACTAAAAGTCCATTTGATTGCAGCAGAACACATCCGTCTTTCGAATTGCATCGCGTGTGGGTCACAGGAGTTGGCCGATTTCAAGGAGAATTCCAATGTCCGCAAGGCGCATTTTTGCGTGCAACGAGCCCCCACAACACAATGGCAAGGCCATGTGCTTGCCGAAGACTTCTAAGATCATTTTTGAAAAGACATGGGCCATGGTTTGGCAACCTCATTGAGCAAATCTCGATCAAGATGCTACAGTCATCTCATCCCATCCCTCTTTTCCGGGAACGACTCGACCCTCGTTCCCTGGAAATGTGTGTTTGACTGCTTGTAGACTCGATTAGGCTCTTACATGATCATTTTCCTGCGACACGGAAACACCAATGGCGATGAAGTCTCGGCATTCGTTGACAGGAAAGGGAGGGTATAGATTGCGAAGATATAACGTGAATATGACCAGTGTTGGCAGTAAAGCAATGCAACGCAATTAAGTTGTCTATCGCGTTGCGTTGTTTTGAGCAGTATCTGGCATCAATTGCGTTGAATTGCCTTCGTTGCTAGGTTGCTGTAACCTTCTTGAAATTACCCTTTTTGGTAGGTACCACACCACATGTGATGTGATAAACCTTCCACGCGATAGGAGTAAGTCATCAAAATGCTCCAAAATTTCTAAACAGTGAGTAAATGGTAGTCCTTGGATCTATTTCCTTGCTAAAAAGTTGAAATCAGGCCAAATTTAGCTCATGATACATCTTTTTTTTTTAGTAGTAGTAGTCGAAGCAACTGAGCAACGAAGCCAACGAAGCCAACCCAGTATCAACTCAATATTGATTGATTGCTGAATTTATAAACACGGATTGCGTTGCGTTGCTGCCAACCCTGAGTATGACTGCTTCAAAACTCTCATTTCTGCCTCCAATGGTATTGGTCCCGGCGAGAGATTTTTTTGATGTCGCTGCATCGATGCCTGAATGCTCCATGGTGCTCGGACATGAATTTGCGAAATCATTACTTGAAAGTGATCCCCAATTACAAATATCATTACGTTTTCCTTACGAATTTATTCAGAGACTAGGAATGGAAAGAATACATGTATCTTGGGACCAGCTGTAGAGCAGTGTCTGTATATCAGCCCAATTCCCTCCCACAGCATTAGCGTAGGGCCTGCGTTTTTTGCCGTCCACTCATTGTACACCAACGCTATGTCATTTTATAGACCATCGGTTGCTCCCTGTGACTCCAGATCCTTGGTGACAAAGTCGTAAGTCAGCGCCAATCCCATAATGGCGAAGTAGAGCGCCAGGAAGTAGTAGTGCAGGAACAGCTGGCGCTGCATGAGGTAGAAGGGGAAGTAGTGGAAGAACCATCCCAAAAGAATCATGCCGACTTCGTAGTCCCCTGATACTTCACCGTTTCCAAACCCCGCTTGTCCGAGAGGTATGAATGCTCCCTGTGACTTCACGTTGGGACGTAGTCATTTCTAAATCCCGTTCGTCCGAGAGGCATGAATGCTCCCTGTACGCACGCCTTTTGACATAGAAATTTTTCATCTCTCTGCGGTTGTTCTCTTCGGTCCGATCTGTTGGTGGTTGCGGACTTGCGGCAGTGCCGCGAGCTGAGGCTCTGCGGACAAGAGCAGGGGATACTTTCGGAACATTGGGGACGCGAACGTGAAGATTCCTTTGAAACTACATACACTTTGTCAGTATTTGGTACGGGAAGGTGGAGCCGCGTACTCACGTTATCTGGAAGTCCTGCTGGGCAATCCATAGCTCGAGCCTGAGAGCGTTTCGAATCCTGTGGCGATCAGAAGAACCCTTGTCTACATGTGCGCAGAAGTTTTCGTAAGGCCGCTCCTTATCGAAGCGGGCATGGCAGGCGGGACATAAGTCCATCAGGATGATCGGGGCGTCAGCGACTTGCTGGAAGGCTGAGAGGATGTGGAGTGTGAGGGCCTTCTTCTCGTCGGGCACGGCAACGAAATCCATCAGCTCATTCTTTTTCCGACAGGATCCTGTGTTTGGTTAGCATTTTGAGTACATGTTAATCAGAATAGTGAAGCGGAAATACCGAATACGAGGTATACAGCCTTTCCTTTGTGTTGCTTGAACACCGGCAGCATCCGCCGCACCCACTCGGCACCTTCAGGAATGTAACCCAAGACTTCATCGAGCGTTGCGCCTTCCCAATGCTCGCGCAGCACATGCATGACGTCCTCCACACGAGGAAAGGCTTTATCAAAACCAGTCGGCCCGTGAAACTGTTGTTCCTGTTAGGAGGCAGCCAGAAATCGCGAGCGGGCGATTGATGTTGAGTGAGAAGGAATGAGGAAGAGAAAGATAGGGTAGAGCATGTCCAAGACTCCATTCTGCTGCAATACTTACAGATCGTGAGCCTTGTCCCGCCGGTATTAACTCCGGGTCAAAGCCTAGCTCTGCCTCATGCTCATCCTCGCAGTTGTACTCAGCCGATGTTCCTGGCGAATGGTAAGAGGGTGAGTCGAGCGACGACCGAGAGAGCGAGTCGGGAGACGACTGAGAGAGCGAATCGGCAGACAACATCTCATTTGCCTGACAGAAGACAGTCCAATTACAATTGATCAGAAGGATGCATGCAGCTCTGGGGCCTGCGACGATGCAGGCTGAGAGATATAGAGCAGGAACGCGGACTTTTGGGTGAGAGGAGAAGACACAGCGGGCTGCGAACAAGAGGCCGTGGGTGAAAGTGAGACGCGTGGAGAGTGAGGGTCGAGGATGAGAAATGAGCTTTGTTTTGAAAGAGGGAGAGAGTGATGGTCGAGGATGAGAGAAGTGTCCGGAGCGAGAAGGCACCACCTCCACCTTCCAATGGGGAAGGAAGCAGGTGCACCTCCCACCACCAAGTCAGCCGTCCAATTCTCTCTCGTGACAGGGTGCAAAATTACTCGGCAACTATTTCAATTCAATGATCGCTCGCTGCGGCAAATTTTTGATGTGCTGTGTCAACGCCTTTACGGGCGACATCCCAGGGCTCTGCCTGCTGCTTCATCTTTGGCCAATCCATGAAACAGGACCAGGCCTTCTGCCTGAGACTTCTCAGCATCTCTTCCAACTAAATGCTCTTGTGCTGCGGTGCATTTTCGATGTGCGTGTCAATGCCTTTTCGGACGACACCTCAGGGCCCTGTCTGTTCCAACATCTTTGGCCAGCCCATGGACCAGGACCAGACCTTCTGCGTGGGTCCACGGAGCAACTATTACGGCTCAATGCTCGCCACCATCAGCCTCAAAACGACGCGCTGTGCCGATGCTGCTGCGTACAGCATTTCAAAAGACCCTCCCACAGTTCAGCTCAGTCTTCAGACTGTGTTGCGTACAGCAGCCCAACATCATCTTGGGCGGCTTCTCGTGCAAAGAACACCGTCGTAGGCTTGGCTCGCATGTTCTGTGTTGATTTGGCTACGGTCGACCCTTCTCAATCTTCCCGGTAGATTGTAATAGGCTGGTCTTTGTCCGACGCAATGGATCGAGTCGTTGAATCCCAATTTCTCTTGAATGCTTGCTGACGGGCGACCCCGTCTTGGCCAACTGCGTCGATTCGGATACGGTCGACGCTTCCTGACTTTGGGTGCGTCTGCCCTCCAGGACGACGGGTTACGTTGCAGAAGGAAATTTGTCTCGAATGCGCTCTTACGTCGAGCCGGTCTCAACGAGCTGTGTCGATTTGGATACGGTCGACTCTTCCGTATTTGGTTGGTACTCGAGACAAGGATTCAAATCGTCGAATCTCTTTGCTCTGGAGTGCGTGCTAACGGCAACCTAGGCTCCTTCAGCTGCGTCTTTCTGTTGGATGCGCGCTGACGACGACTCAGGCTGGATAAACTGTGTCAATATAGTGGACTGGGCATTTGCCCCTTCTTTTCAAAATTTAGACAAGACAATGAAGAAACAAACGTTTTCATTAATGGGTTCCCGATTCAATCCCCCGAATGGACGGCGTGATGGGAGAAAAGGGCCACCACGGCACCAAGAAAAGCAGCAGCTGAGTGAGTGCCCGCACGTCAATCTCGATCTTGGCTCAGTAATACCACTGGTGCCTCTTCTCCGAATCCCTTCGCCTAGGTAGCTCCAATGACAAAGATCTCAATGCTTTCCGTCCCAGGTCCTCGCATGCAATCCCACTTCTTGCCGAGTCACTCGTCTCCTAGGCGGCCGACTTATCCACAACGAAAACAATCGCGACGACAATCAGCAGCAGCACAACCAACACGACGGCCACGAGCGGTGCGGGGACGCTCCGCCGCCTCCTAGTCATGAGCAGAGGCTGCCCATCGTCCTCTTCTTCCCACTCCTCCTCGCCTTCATCGCCACCTAGCAACGCCTCCTCCTCGCCTGCCTCTACCACTGCCGCATCCTCCCCGCTCGCCGTCGAGTAGTACCGCGTCCGCGGCCGTCCGCGTGGCCGCCGGCCTCTCCGTCCCTTCTTGCTGCCGCTGCCAGAAGCAGACCCCGACGTCCCAGACAGCGACTCGATCGAAGCATCGGAGCCCTGCTGCATCACCGCACCCCCGTCGCCGGCCGCCCACGGATTCTCCGTCAACTTGGCATGCGAGTTGGCATTCGACGAGGTGTGGGGAAGGATGGGCGGGTACGACTTTGCCCGCGCCGGCAGACTCTCGCGCTCGTAGTGACCCAGGGGCTCCTGGAAGGTGACGGAGGGCGTCGGCGCCGGGGCGGGCGGCTCCCACGTGTTGGAGGCGGAAAACTGCTCTGCGTTTGCGGCGGCAGACGCTGCGCTCGCGGCTGCTGCCGTGGACGTCGCCGTGGGAGAGTCCGGGTCGAGGT